TTGCCAATGAAGCTGAATGTGGTCTTATTCCAGCGAGTTTCCCGTCGTCTTTGCCGATTTACATTCTGTTGGTTTCTGGCTGATTACAGTTTGTTTATTTGCTCAGCTGCTGACCGAAAAGCTCACTCAGGATCAGCAACAGGTTCAGAATGTGATGCAGTCCAGTGGTCACTCTCTCTATCTGACCAAACAGTCTGCAGCTCAAATATTATCTTACAAAGGTCATCTACTGTGTCCACTTTCTGTTTTTGTATGTGTTCAGCGGAAAACCAGGAGTTCAGCGCTTTCCAACTAATCCGACTGTACAGCACAGTCCTAATGAGGGAGCGGAGATCCGTCTGGGTCACATGCTCGGTCCCCGAATGTCCTTTCTTCAGTCTCTTTTGTTATGTTTTGGGTTTTTTTTCAGACTCTGTGACATGTCCTTTCCCGAGGCGCATGCCAAACCTTTCAAACCGAGCCTCTGAATAAAGAGCACATCAGTGAGCACGAGTCTGGCTGGAGAACAGAGCGCTTCAGTCTCCGTCACCATCTAAACGCAGGGGGTCCCGGCGGGGGGGCGCAGGGCTGCCAGCACCAATTAACTCCGAACAGAATACACATGTACTCCTGACACACCTTCACCGAACAGCGCAGGCCGTCCTACAGCGGAGGAGCACTGCGAACGAGCCTGCGCGGTCAGACAAGGACAAACTGCTGATTAATAAACACTGAGTTTTATTTGTGGGGAGAAATGATGCGGTTCAGGATCAGACAGAACGATCCTGGGGTAGAAAGTCACTTTGGTCCTTATTCATCAAAGCTGTGTCCAGTCAAATCTGACCGTAAAATGAGTGACAGCTTAATAACCTGAGAAAATGCTTGATTTTTAAACCAAACTCAATTATTATCTTGAATATCAATAAGAATAAAAATAGAAGTTAACAGTAATGGCAGTAATTTGTACAGCAGTACAGAAGTGGATGGACTTGTTTTTCATGCACACTGGGGTCAACAAATACTGCAACTACTCCACGTTCCATTTAAAGACATATTACACTGTGCTTTTGTTGACTCCGCCCACTAAACAATCAATACAAAACACACCTAGAGTCATTAACTGCAATAATACAGCGTTTAAATATTTAATATCATAGATATACACACCTAGAAGCCGCGTTGGGTCCCATCAGGCACGTCAACGGCGCCGCCATTTTGGGTCGGTCAACATCGCTGCTGGACTGCATTCAGTACCATTACAGAGCGGCAGTTTAAGAAAGATACTGTCCAAAATTACACTATTTCAGGAATATCAGACTCAGAAAGTGGTATAGGATTATATAACGGAGGGAACGCAGCGATCCACACTCATGTCTGTGTGGTGTTTGTGTAGATATGGCCGTGTGGTTAATGAGGCACAGAGAACCTGTTGATGTGATTGTTTTTCCTCTGGTTTTATATTAAGCTTATTTAATAGTCTATTCAGGATTTTAACTCTATGTAGTAGTTATTTATTTACAGTGATGGTTAAAGCTTTGTAGCGGTAAGTTATAGGATTCCTTAATCTGTGTATTCATAATAGATTAACTTTAGAACCTTCTTACAGGAAGCTTAAGTCAGATTCTTATCTGCCAGCTTCTTGGTTCGAATTTTCCCGTTCCACCTTAAAAGGTGCATCTGTCAGCTTCTTGTTCGAATTTTCCCGTTCCACCTTAAACGGTGCATCAGCCAGCTTCTTGTTCGAATTTTCCCGTTCCACCTTAAACGGTGCATCAGCCAGCTTCTTGCTCGAATTTTCCCGTTCCACCTTAAACAGTGCATCAGCCAGCTTCTTGAAAACTCGAACAAGACGCTGGCGAATAGGAAGCCAACTTTAGCTTCGTCCTTCTTACTGTGTTTTGTGGGTTTATTTTTTTTATTTTTATGTGTGTTAGGATTAGAAGTGATTCACACATTGATGGATTTGCTCATGTGTGTGTTTGTTTCTGGTGCTATACTCGGTTTTTAACGTCAGGTGCAGACTGAATAGTTTCCTACTGGTCTGGACGGCTAATTATCACGATCAGGTATTAAAGACATAAAAGCTACCAAGAGCAGATCCGTGCAGTCTAGACTAATCAGTGAATTTGGTGAAAATCGGTTGAGTTAAAAGGAAGTTGTGGCTGATTTAATCCTGAGACTCATCGTCTCTCAATACAAGTGAATTTGCTCACAAGCGGATCTTGACCTCTCCAACATGGCGGAAGCACAGACGTATCGCCTCAGAGAACAACAGACAACGCGGCATCTGGGTACGTATATCTATGTTTTTGTCTTTCCAGCCGTGGACAGTGCACTCACTGCCCTCAAACTCTGCCTACAAGCAGTCATTGGTGCGCATCCTGCTCCATGCTGTCGCTTTATTGGCTGCATGAATTAGGGCGTGCTTCATGTAAATGAGGCACTTATAGGTTGGCGCTTGATTTCACGCACACTGAAGCTGACTGCGCTCAAATCTCGTCATTAAGTCATTAAGTCATCATCTAAGTCATTAAAGATAATAAAGGTTAAATCTGAGCTCTTTATTATGCAGATCTGCTGAATAAGGGCCACGGTGATATTTTAGATGCTTTTGATATATAGAAAGGAAAAATGCGCCCAGTTTACTCAGACAAACTATTCTCAGATCTGAAATCACTCTAGCTATGAAGCAGGTGCATTTACAGGAGACTTAAATCAGAAGTTCAGTATTCTGGGTGCTGCACAATATGGACCAAATATCATACTCCAATTACAACAGGGATGCACCGACATGGGAATTGAGGGCCGATATTAGATGTTTTTCATGTATATCTGCAAATACTGATACATAAACATCTATTAAATGTACAGTTTGGGACCAAATCTGCCTGCATTAACATTACAGAGAAATATAACATTTCTTTAATTATTTCTGTAAGATAGAAATGAATAAAATGCAGGTATTTCAGTGCAGTAACCCAGCACCACCTAATTCTGCTCTTCTGGAGTTCATTAAACATTACATATTAGATCAAATTTAAACATCTGATACTGATTTTGATGATGATGCTGATATTTCATACAACGAAATGATGCAATTACATTGTTCATCCCTGAATCGCAATATATCTAATATAATGAAAACACTGCACGTTTGATGCCATTTTTGATTAAGATTATTTTTTCGGCACCTAAAAAAAACCTAAATTATAACCTCTAGAATTCACAACCTCTCCAGGAAAAAACACCAAGTCATTTGAATGAGGGTGTGTCTATTGCATAAGCCACAACCCTTCCTACCCACTTTACCCTGATAGGCTGCGCCCTGCACCATGCCCAGTTTTGATCATTAACAGCAATTTCAGTGAAACAGCTAACAATTCATAACAGACAAAAGACAACTGTATTCACCAGTAAACCACTTTAAAAGTATTTGAATATAAAATGATATTGGTTGATGTTACCAGTTTATAATTTTGGCCTCGTAAAATCAATATGGGTCTCAAAACATTCATATCGGCCAGCCTGATGAAAACATTATGAACATAAAGCCTTAAATTGATCTAATTATCACTGACAGTAGAATATATGCATGGTTAACAACCTGCATTATTTTGACCAAATGTATTTATATGCAATGTAAAAGCCTCGATTTATTTATTTACACCCAAAGAACATCTGTGATTGGTCAGAATGCTCACACAGTAAAGCCCTCACTAATTAGTTAGAGGCTCGTTTGCATAGCAATGCTGTGATATCAGCATATTGCAATTACAATTAACAAACAATGCTCTGAGTTTGTAGGTGTCCTTCGTTCATAAAGACTAAAGCACTAAATCAGTCTGGAATTCAGTTTAAACTGTTACTGCTCACCCCAAGTTTATTAGAATGTCTCATCAATGCTTTTTTAATAAAAGCCGCCTCGACACCGCCGGCTGTGTGAAATGTTCAGGCTAATGCAGGTCAAACTGGAGCGTCTTATTGAAGGTGGATTTTTTTTTTTTTTGGCAGGACATGCTGAATGTTATAATTAATCAAAGTGCCTGCAGTGTAATGAGGTTTTACCAGACCTTTAATCCACTGAAAATTAATCAACAGGAATTAAACAAGTACGTGTCTCACGAAAGGTGAAGCCGTAAGCCAGAGAAACCAATAACACCTCAACAGTGCGGAAGGTGTTTTAGTGTAACGAACGTTAAACCAAGGCAGCAGGTAACGTCTCACTGTGTTAATGTGCATCATGTTAACACCAGACCAAAAAAACAGTTAATGTCCCATTGCATTCATTTATATGGTGCTATATACATATAAAAAACCTCACACTTTAAAATTAGCGCAGCCCGATTAGAGAATTAAGAGAATAAATACACAGTAAATTAGAAAGTGTAAAGTGTGTCGTGCGTGCTGTGATCACTAAAAACCTCTAAAGCCCTACGTCAGTCTGTAGTCGGCTGCACGCCCATATAAGGAAGTCCACGCCTGAGCTGTTTATCTTTATGGGGAAAAACAAGCAGCGTTTCTCGCAGCTATTGCACCCTGTTGTAAACAAAAACGTTCCAAAGGTGAAACATTTTGCTGTTTGTACATTTCTTTTCATTAAAAGGGAATTACACCAAATTTCTGCATAATTAAATAGTTCTGAGTCAGAACTGCTCACAGTGGTGGTGATAGGAACCAGACGTCCACCTCTAAAAGCTCCCTCACAGAAAGTTCCTACATGAAATGGTTATGAATTCACTGCCTGATGACTGAGACACTGTTTTATGATAGTTTTGAGAACTTAAACTCCATTCATGGTGGAGGGATACATGCAGGGCGCTGTGAGGCAAAATAGTCCCCAAAGAAAACTTATTATTTCAGATTTTCACTATTTTCCATCATCAACATTCCATATAAACTCAGAAGACTCGTGTAGGTTCACTGGTGGTTCTGGATAGTAAATAAAATGTCTATATTTGTGTTGTAGTCATGGCGACCCCTGGTTCCTATCACCACCACTGTAAAGGCATCTGAACCATTTCACACCAAACCACTCTGAATCACTCTGATTACATCTCACACACTGAGTTATGGGGGGAATTTTGAGAAATCAGTGGAGTTCCCCTTTAAGGAGCTGAAATATGACTACTGCTACATGCACTTAATTCAGTAAGCAGCATTAGTTTGTAGTTAGACTAACAACTACGTGATTCAGAGGATTCACTCGGAAAGATAAACTATTTCTGTTTCTGAACATTGTTTACAAAAGGGTGAGAAAGCAGCAATTTCTGAAAACACTGTTGAGTTTTTCTCATAGAGATGAGCAGCTCAGACTCAGAGTTTGGGCAGAACACGACTACAGAGTGACCCCAGGCGTCAACACTCCGCTCGGTCAGTTTTTAATAAAGAAATGTTCCGAAGCTGCCCATCCCGTTACGCCGGAACTGATTTCCGTGAATAGAAACGAACATTTCCTGAGACAGCAGGTTCTCGTCGGCCTGCATGGCTCCCAGCTCCTTCATGCGACTCTTCTGGAGGCGCCGCTTCGTAACCGAGGTGGCGACCAGCTCCCGCTTGATGGCATCATTGCCTTCGGTGAACTCCGGAGGAACCAAGCTCGGCTGAACTTCGGCTGGACTTTCCTCCACCACAATGGTCGGCACGTCACAGTCTGACCCCGCCTCCGCTGCTGCGGGCCCACCTTCTCCTTCAGTAGCCCCACCTTCTGCTTCCATAGCCCCGCCTTCTTTATGCTCCTCCTCCACCTCGCCTCCTGCATCTGACATAAAAAGGAATCAAAGTTACTGGAGTCCGTCGCTGCCCTGCGCAGTAACCATTTCACTTTGAATGGACTTTAAAAGGGACAGTTTGGCAAAAATACACTGTCACACTGTAATTATTCATGTTCATATTCATATTCATACAGAGGCAGATGCTGATAGTGTCCTACACAGGGCTATTAACAATCACAGTAGGCCATAATTATAAAGGTATAATTTAAGTATCACTATCAAATTCAAATTAGAAATGTTCTCATAGCTAATTTAATAGATTTGGGTACACAATTTAAAAAAAATGATAAACAATTAGGAAAACATTAAATGCCAGCCTTTCTTTTTCAAGGTTTCAATATCCGTAATAATAATGATAATAAATCAATCAATCGACCTTTATTTACCCTTGAAGGGGACTCTCATTTACAATGAGGCCGAGCTGATACAGGAAAAGGGATTGATTATGTGTAAGAACGTATCAAATAATAAAAGTAAATTTAATAAAAAATGACTCAAATCAGGTAAGCATACAAAAAAAATTAAACACTAATAATAAAAAAGGCATAAAAATACAATAGAAAATATAAAACAAGAATTAAAACGTCGCTAAAATGTAAAAGTTAATAAAATCAAAATCAAATCAAAATAAAACAAAAGGAGAATAAGATCAAAAAGTAAACTAAAAATGTATTTAAATGACTAAAATAATAATAAAATAATAATAATTAAAATAAGAATTAAGAATATGAATAATAATAAACAAACAAATAAATAATAAAATAAAAATAAGACAATAATAGTAAAAAAAACTGCACTAAATCCAGTTAAACAGGCCTGACTCTGCTCACTCTGTACTGAGAACACCCACAATACACTCGTAATAACACACTGTGATATAATTTATCACAACAGCAATGAAATATTGTCATATTGCCCACTGCTAGCATCATGTCATCTCTAGTAGGCCTGCTGTAATTATTACATAATCGCCTAATCGCAATTACTTTAGATCAGAGGTCACTAATAGGCGGACCGCGGTCCGAGTCCGTACCCAGACGCTGTCCTATGCGGACCTTTACCTGTAACAGATAAACTATGGAGAATTCTTTAATTTTGATGGGGTGGTCCTGTTTTAATCGCCTTAACTTTTCTAGCCTTTATGGTAGCTTTAGCGGCTCGGGAGACTCACAGACCAATCGCATGCGTTGTAATTATCACACATGACGCTACTCAGCCAATCAGATCTGTGCATTAGGATGAGCACTGAGAATCCAGTGAGTGACGCCACACAGGGGAGGGACGAGGAGAGACACAGCAGTCGGAGAAGAAAGTGAGTCAGAGGGAGGTTATTTCACATGACGTTAAATATTGTTGAAATATGACTGAATTGTACTTTTTGATTTGACATTCAGTTGTTGACTGTATAAGATGTTGATATAACTACTACTTCAGTAAACAGTATATGGCACTGAATCATGATGCAAGGTAGACATTATGATGTTCCGGACCTTTGCTTGAGGACCTTATTGAATTTTAATTAAATTCTGCTGTAGATGATCAAAGTTGTCATTTTCCACATTAGATTCCAGTCACATTAAAGCCTTGGATCCACTACACAACTTAAAGTCTTAACACATTATAAAAGACTGAGCGTCTCACACTATCACACTGGTTTTGGCAGGTTTTCTGGGCGACTGAAATATTAGGGATCACACACACTAACTGATTAGGGATCGCACGCTAAACGATTAGGGATCGCACGCTAACCGATTAGGGATCGCACACAAAACGATTAGGGATCGCACACTAACCGATTAGGGATCGCACACTAACCGATTAGGGATCGCACGCTAACCGATTAGGGATCGCACGCTAAACGATTAGGGATCGCACGCTAAACGATTAGGGATCGCACGCTAAACGATTAGGGATCGCACACTAAACGATTAGGGATCGCACACAAAACGATTAGGGATCGCACACTAAACGATTAGGGATCGCACGCTAAACGATTAGGGATCGCACACAAAACGATTAGGGATCGCACACTAACCGATTAGGGATCGCACACTAAACGATTAGGGATCGCACGCTAAACGATTAGGGATTGCACGCTAAACGATTAGGGATCGCACACTAACCGATTAGGGATCGCACACTAACCGATTAGGGATCGCACACTAACCGATTAGGGATCGCACACAAAACGATTAGGGATCGCACACTAACCGATTAGGGATCGCACACTAAACGATTAGGGATCGCACACAAAACGATTAGGGATCGCACACTAACCGATTAGGGATCGCACACTAACCGATTAGGGATCGCACGCTAAACGATTAGGGATCGCACACAAAACGATTAGGGATCGCACGCTGAACGATTAGGGATTGCGAAACTAACCGATTGGGGATCGCAAACTAACCGATTAGGGATCGCACACTAACCGATTAGGGATCGCACACAAAACGATTAGGGATCGCACACAAAACGATTAGGGATCGCACACTAACCGATTAGGGATCGCACACTAACCGATTAGGGATCGCACACTAACCGATTAGGGATCGCAAACTAACCGATTAGGGATCGCACGCTAAACGATTAGGGATCGCTCACTAAATGATTAGGGATCGCTCACTAAATGATTAGGGATCGCACACTAAATGATTAGGGATCGCACGCTAAACGATCAGGGATCGCACACTAACCGATTAGGGAACACACACTAAATGATTAGGGATCGCACGCTAAACGATTAGGGATCGCACGCTAACCGATTAGGGAACACACACTAAACGATTAGGGATCGCACGCTAACCGATTAGGGAACACACACTAAATGATTAGGGATCGCACGCTAACCGACTCGAACTCGCACGAACTCTCGAGATTCTCACGTTACTAGGAGACGCAAATAAACAAACGTGTTGCTGCTGCTGCTGTTTTCTCTGCCATTTGCGCTGAAACAGTAAAGAAGCAGCAGGTAAACATGTTTAAGAGGATCATGGATGTAAAAATGTGATCAGTTCGGTAATTTTAGAGTTTTAAATGTACATAAACTCGGTTGTGCCTTAAACTCAGCTCATTAAAAAGCTTCGCTCCACATGCGAGTAACTTTCCGCCATTTTTCTTTGTTTACTTGCTGCATTTTCTTCTTTCACACTCTCAGTTTTCATTGGTTGTTGCAGGAATCCGTTAGCAGAGATTGAATCGCTGCTCAGTTTACACCAGATTACACTCAGAGTCGGGTCGGAAAAAATCAAACGTCTGATAAACTCCGGCTGGTCTGAAACGCAATCAGGATGCTGTAAATCTGAGTCCGCACTCCTCACACACGACTCGACTCTCTCCAACTGTCGACTCCAACTGACGCAAACATCTGCAGACTAGAGCCGACCAGCTGAGTGTCACTGCAGTGCTGAGAATGATCCCACCACCCAAATAATACCTGCTGTGTGGGGGTCCTGACCACTGAAGAACAGGGTAAAAAGGGGAGAAACAGATGGACTACCGTCTGTAACTGTAGAACTACAGAGTGAAACTATATGGTCAGTGGAGCTGATAAGATGGACAGTGAGTGCAGATACAGGGAGGAGGACTATGGTTGTGGCTGATTGGTCTATACATATAAAACACACATTATATACATTTGTATTACCTTGTTGTGTTCCAACATCTTTTTATGAAGTATTTTTAAAGCCCTCCTCATTTATCTCTTTCCAATAAAATGATCTATTATTTTTCAGTATAGTTTGTGCTTTATTAAAACTCAGCTCTCAGTTAACCATCACAGTAACAGATAATCCCATTACTGATATAATCAATACTGACAGCCCTAAAACATTTTAAACAAAGTCCAGCTTAAGTCACAGCCACCCAACTCCAAACACACTGAGAATGTTCCAGCTCCGACGGCCGACGGGCGTCATCTCGTTACAGCTCGTTTACTGGCAGCGCACCTCATTTTAATGAGTACAATTAAAAGTCTTGGCAGGAAACTGGATTTCTGAACAGGAAAGTTCAGCGAGGTTAACGAGATGAAAAATGTAACTTCATCGGTCAGACGGTTTTATCTGCACTGTTTCGCAGCCACTGAATGTTAAAACATATGATTACAACACAAAACTCAAATCAATATTTCAGAGCTCATATCCCACATTTTACTGCCTCTCTCTCGACACACACTTATGTTTGTCATGAGAGAAAACAGTCATAACTCACTTTTATATTTCCAACCTTAGAATTAAACAGACCGTTTTTGTTTCTGGGGCTTTAAGACTGATATATGTAAATGAGCTCTGTTTTGATTGGCTGTACATCATTCAAAAGCATCCTGGGCTAAAACACTCCTTATAACTTCGTGTGATGGACAGGGCTAAACTGCTGTAGGCTGAATGGGTGGAGCTAAACTGCTGTAGGCTGAATGGGCGGGGCAATGCAAGAAGAGAAAGAAGAGAGAAAGAGGCAGTGAGAACAGAAAGAGAAATAATGGACAGAAGCAAATCAAGCAAATAAAAGGAAAAGAAAAAAGGAGAAATGGAGAAAGAGCAGAGAGATGGAAGAGAAAATAAAAGAGAATGAGAGAAGAGAAGAACAGCAAAGGAAGAAAGACAGAGAGATAGAGACACACAGAGAGAGAGAGAGGTAGTCATTCTGAGTCAGTGTGTTCAGCTAATCCTGATTTAGAAATTAAAGCTCTCTCTCTCTCTCTCTCTCTCTCTCTCTCTCTCTGAAGGTCAGTTATAGTTTCGTTTTAATTCAGTCTCTCCTCCAAATATAAGTGCAGACAAAAACAGTAACTCCAAGGCTGAGGAGCCGGGGGGATACGAGTCATTACGGACCGCCCGGCACCGGCCCCGGGGGGCAGCTTTAATAAAAAATTCATACACACAAATACTTCCTCTCAGATATTACTGCGAAAGTGGAGCAGCCTCTCTCTCTCCCTCTCTCCCTTTCTCTCCCTCTCTCATTTGGGTTTGTTTGGTGAGCCGCTGGTCGACTGAAATGACCACAGAGTCTGAGTCACTGCAGTTTTAGAGTGGCAGGAAATGCATTATCAGTTCATTCTCTATGTGCTGCACTTTAGAGACACGGAAATAAAGAGGAAAGTAAACTGCAAACAAACCCCAACTGCACTGCTACCATTAAAGGCTCCCTATCCTACATTTGTGTCTCTCTCTGATGTCACCTCATGACATCTCTGTGCTGTTATGGACCAAAACCGCCGTAATTCCTTTGAAACAGAATCCCAGCCTCTCTGCATCCCTCACAATTAAACAGGCCGTTTTTGTTGCTGTACCTTTAAGACTGATGTATGTAAATATGTTATGTAAATGTAAATGTATGTAAATATGTTAATGTAAATATATATATTATATACATATATAAACCAATTCTGTCAACTCTGTATGGATAATTCTGTAAAAGTGGATCAAAACACAGTCCTTCCTAATAAACACACATTTAAAAATGCATAAATGAGAAATTTAAACATATTCAACACATTAAATGTAATACTTAGCACACACAGCTGATCTACATTTAATAATTATTTGATAAATCTGATAAAAATGTGTTTATCCTGTTCTATATTGAGTGCCCCAAATCTAACCTCCGACGTCTGAAACACAAATTTAGCCCATTTTCAGATAATATTTTAACCTAATATTCCATTTCAGTTCCTACCAAAATTACACAAATATTTCACTCTAATCTTTGAAAAAGCTTTAAAAGTCATAAATTCATCTTTAAAAATGTAACTACCGAACACTTTACTACTCTTACAAAACAGAAGATTTGGTGAAATTTGGAGAAAAATTGTGCACATTCTTTATAACTCGTCTGTCAAAACTGATCACCGAGTTTCTCGCTGTGTACTCGTTTGGAGAGAAGTGCAAAATTAAAAGAGCTTAAATTGTCAGAAGCAACAATAAACTTGTTTCGGTACTGATATTCACATCAATTCATCATTTCTTTTGTAAAAATAATGCATCAGACGATGTACAACACAATAAAACGTCATCATTTTACATTTTTTTAAAAAAAGCCCAAAAATACAGACTACGCAAATATAGTCAGAGAATTTTAACATCCAAACAAAGAAAATGTGGATCAAAAATATGTCAGCTGGATAAAGTGACACTGAGAGGATGATGAGAATTATTGCAAAATGTATTAACAGATAAAAGTCTAACCAATAAAAGTCTGGACAAAAGTCTGGAAGCAGATGAAATTCTGAAAATTCATGAACAGATTTAACTGGACGCTGAGTAAATTTCTAATTTGTAGTTAGTGCGTCAGTCAAAGCTGAAGGGAGACATTTTAACATCTTTTAGCCTCAGTTTGAACCACGTCTGCAGACAGAGCCGTTAATAAGAGCAGAGAAGCGGCTTTATTTAGGATGTCGTCTATAATCAGATACTGTGGGTTATTTTGTTTACTCTATCCTCAGAGTCGGTCGGTCAGCGTGAGTGGACAGAAGGACAGACAGACAGTGTGTTGCGTTACCTGTACTTTGGGCGTCTGCAGGCTGACCCTCCGCACCGCGAGCATCCGGCTTCACCAGTATCACTCCATAACCCTCGTTATTGTGGATCACGTTGTTCACCATGGTGATCTGAGGAAGGACGTCCAGCGCGTCCGCAAAGTCCTGCCAGAGAGACACAGACGGAATTAAACACGTAAACATATGATTAGGAAGATTAATCACAATTAATTAATGAACTATCAAAAAATCTCCTATAATATGATTATATCCTTTTATTTTGTGTTCTATGAAAATGACTTGTGTCAGTAAGCACAGCTCTACAAACCCAAACAAACAAACACTTTAGTAAAGATAAATAAGTCATGCTAGCATTTCTTTTCTAATTCTGTACCGTACCGTGATACAAAAACCGATAATATGTATCGTATCAAGAAATGTGCATATCGTTACACCCCTAATATTTCGTAATTGGCTGTTTAGCTGAATGGTTAAGTCAGTTTAAACCCATGCAGGGTTCCACCAGTCTGATTACGCTACTCTGGTAATTTGATCGGTTCTGTCATCACAGCCCTTAACGAAACTCACATCGCGATAACGATAAAAACATGATTTATCATGCAGCTCTAGTGGATATCTGAACTCATCATAGCATTTGTTTACTCTGGTATTTGAATAATGCATGTTAAGTCAAAATGAGACAAAAAGGAAATCTGATTTTGTTAAAATGGGTGAAACAGACGGGGGGAGGAGTGTGTGGGGGGGTATTACCCACTAAAAGAGGGTTTTTTGCCTATTTGCATATCTTTATAATGAACAAAGCATGTCTTTTTGGTTTATACTTCAGTGATTAGAGGTACTGGATGGTGTTTTAAGGAATACAAGTGTACACAGTCTGGACTCCCTTCTAATTCTAATCAATATACATTTTTATTACAAAGTGCTTTATATATTTTCATTAAAGTCTCTTTAGAGGCTTGCTAGCTAATTTTACAGTAAAGTATATAAAAATCTTCAGCAACGATTATGACTGTTCAGTCAAATGTTGTTTATCTCTGGCAAAACAGAGCAGAAAATACAGCGCAATTACACATTCAGACCAAAAACAAACAGGATAAATTAGTTCATTAAAGAAGATTTCAGTAACTACGAGGGTCATGTTTGTTAGCGTTCCTATCAATTAACCCCTCCAGGACCTTCACAAAATCTACAATTTAGCAAGGCAATTAAGTTTCACATGTTTAATGATGCTTATTATACTTTAAAATAGGAGAAATGCATGTTTGCTCCTGTCTAGAACTGTTTTAGGCAGAATACTGAACACAAAACAGCAGAAATGTTTCCCGTTCTGTTTATTTTCATTGCATCACATCCATTATGGCCCAAATCACTTCCCGTCAGCGAGCTGTCGCTGTTTTATGGAGTTGCTGGCTGAGGCTCGGAGCCGTTTTGGCCGTGTTTTGTCTGTTTGCTGTTTCAGACGCTCCACTCGCCGGAGCAGAACTGACAAACAGAACCAACGGCAGAGCTGGCAGCTCAGAACCGCAGTCCATTAACTGGAGCAGATCTGCTCTCACTGGCACGGTCATCATGTCTCACGGTCAGTGGGATAAAACAGTTGTGCACAGGCCTTAGCGCTGATTTTGGATGGTAAAAAGAGACTTTTCTCATCATTTCTCCTGCTAACCAGCTGCTGCCCCACAGAGACTCTGACTGATGAAAAAGAATAACAGCTCTGACTAAAGACGTCATCATCTCTCATCATTTATCTTCACTTTAATAACTAATAAGTCTGATACAGACTGCAGGAACTGAATGGCTGAATGGGCGTGGCCAAACTGCTGTAGGGTGAATGGGCGGGGCTAAACTGTTGTATGCTGAATTGGGCACAGCTAAACTGCTGTAGGCTGAAAGGGCGGGGCTAAGCGGCTGTAAGATGAAAGGGCGGGGCTTCTGTAGGATGATCATATGGAAATGACATCACAACCATGGCAAATTAAAAAAAAGGCTTTTTCACCGTTTAGGTTCTATATATAACAGTATTAACTTCAAAGTGAACAGCAGCTTTAATACGACCCCTTTAAATATCCCATAACACACAATATTCCAGACACAGGTCCAGTCTGTCCCCTCAAAGCAATGAAATACAGGGTGTTTACTGGCTGCCTGCGCTGCGGGGGGCGCTGAACTCTGGTGACTCTGTCGAGTTTAAAGTGAAACGCAGACAGCGATGGATTAGCTGAACTATTCATTTCAATAACGTCTGTCTTACAGAGTATTAAGAGAAAGATCAGAGGGATCAGCTCTCAGATTATTACACACAGATCACTGGAAGACTCTCAGGATGACCTCAAGACTCTAAAAGTTGCAGAAACTCCATCCAAAGAGGAGCTGAACTCTTCAGTTCTTCAGGCAGCACTGAAAACGGAGGAGTGTGATCATCCTTCTCCTCTGAGAGGCCTCCTGACCCTGCGGCTCCCGCCAGCCCTTATAAACGCTGCATTAATATCAGTGATGCGGTCAGGTTCTTCTCCAAGTTTGTGCTGATGGCTGATTGGAGACATAAGACCGTGTGGTCTACATGTTTTACTGATATTAGTGCATAAAGCACTTTGTAATTTTGTGACTAATATTGTGCTGCATAAGTAAAAATAATTGTCTTTTTTATTGTTATTGTATTTTTTTCAACTAAATTTTACAGCATTTGATTTATAAGAATTTTACTTCATATTAATTTTTGTGTAAAGCATTTTTAAAAAGGTGCTTCATAAACACATTTATTATTGTTGTTATTACAATTACAAACCTGCTAAGACACTGTCTTAATGTTAAAAAGCCATATTCTACATTTTTATTGAATTTTATTAAAAATCAGAGAAAAAAAATGCTGTAGGCTGAATGGGTGGGGCTAAACTGCTATAGACGTCATAGACGGGGCCAATCTGCTGTAGGCTAAATGGGCGGGACTAATTTGCTGTATAATGAATGGGCGGGACTAAACTACTACAGGCTTAATGGGTTGGGCTAATCTGCCGTAGGCTAAATGGGCGGGATTAAACTGCTGTAGGATGCATGGGCGGGGCTAAACTGCTGAAGGCTGAATGGGCAGGGTAAACTGCTGTAGATGAATGGGTGGGGCTTATCTGCCATATGATGAGTGGGCGGGGCTAATTTGCTGTAGACTTAATAGATGGGCCAATCTGCTGTAGGCTGAAGGGGCGGGGCTAATTTGCTGTAGCTTAATTATCCTTAGGCCAAATAAAACAAACAAACAAACAAACAAACCTACTTGCTCTGTATCCACCCAACGCAGTTTATCAAACGTTCCTCCCACCTTCAAGATACATCATCAGAAGGGTTTTTTTCTAGTCTTTAAAGTGGACAATCTGTAGCACCGCTGTAAGAGGAGATCAGGCGTGATTACAGCAGATGTAGCGACGGTCACGCTGCCCGTTTTGGCCGGAGTGTCCCTTTAAGCAGGGTTTAGTGGATAAACAATTCCATTTTCTCTCTCTAATCTTCAGCTGAGAGATAAATCTCTCCACAGTTCCACAGAGTCCTGCTGTAAAACCTGATTTAACTCATCAGCTAATTGTTAAACCCCTGATGAGCCGAATTAAGTTTACACAGGGGATAGAAAAATGAATTAAACAGGGCTGGAAGTGGCCATCGCTGCCCCACAACATCAGCCTTGACTCGCGAGGACAAAAGCATCCAAAATGAAACTGATATTCAGGAGTGGTGACATATTGAGCTGTTTGATATTAAATCATTTAAGCAGATCTGACTGGACAATGACTGGTTTTCCAGAGAATATTAGGAACGCAGGTTACACAGTTATGTTTAAATGAAGATTATTTGTTAATGAATTTGCTTCATTATAAGTTTCCACATCTACTATTTGATAATTTATTTATAATTTATATTAGTGCTACTCTTCTATTAATTGATTTTTCACAAACTGTATTATTATTATTATTGTTCAATGTACTTACAGCAGTTTTATTGTAGGCATCATTTGCAATTTGTGTAATTGTACAGCTGAATGCTGCTGTTTACTTTTTTTTTTTTTTAAGTGTAAATAAGATTAATTTTTTTAAGATTTATTTTTACTATTCTTCTACAGAGACACATTTCTGCATGCTTTAATACACGATTACTGTTTATTTAATGAATTTAACACAGTGGGAAAGAAAATGAACCTTAAATGTGGCCTTTGCAAAAATGTATGGCACATTTCAAATTCAGATTTCAATTTTTTTTCAAGTTAAACTAAACAAATAGAAACTGCGCAGTAAAATTGGCACATATTATATATGTGTATACGTGTTGGTCAGTGCTGTTGTCTTTTCGGTACCTGCTCAGTGACCACAGCTGAAAATAAACCAAGGATGTTTTGAAACGTTGTGCACTGTCCCTGCAAATATTACATAAACTAGAATAAAATAACTAAAATAAAAGCTAAAAAAGCGAATGTGCAGTGATGTTAGTGCTGCTGAAGCTGAGCCGTCTCCCTCACCTTAATCAGGATGCCCTCCTTGCAGTGATGGATGCCGTTTCCCACGAGACTGCAGACGCTGCCCGGATAGATCTCCACACCGGCTCCCTGAACACAGCACAAAGAGCCAGCATGTTAATGACGCGGCCGCTCAGCGAGGACAGACGGCTCTGCTTCTGAACAGCGGGACATAATTCAGACCGCCTGCGGGCGAAGAGCTGCACTAAACTTCAACAATAACATCAGTTAAGAAAACACTGACAAAGCGCGAAGAAGAGAAATAGCCAGTACATCACTCAACACCCAAATGGAGCACATACACTATTCACGAGTGTTTACATTCACTTAATAATCCGATCATTATCAGATTCCTGCAGTTATCTGATTATAAGCAGTCGTGTAAACATAAACTCTGATTTCTTAGATCAGATTAAGGTCTATAAAGCTGATTAAGAGGCTGGATCTGAGTCAGTAATGGGGTTTTTCAGTGCATGTAAACTCTTACTCTGATTTCTTTCGTTTCTCTCAGTTTACGCATGTGTGACAACAGAGCGCCGTCCCGGAAACAGCGAGCAGCATGTAACGCAGCACAGCACTTTTGGAGCGACGCTGAAACCAAATACATGCTTAACGAAATCAATGATTTAAATATTCTTCATCTTCAAGATGTTTTATAGTAATATATTCTGCAAAAGTGACTTTGTTTTAAAAAAAGCCGCAGTATGAGGTTTGATTCTGTGAGTTTACTGGCTGGTTGTAAAGCAGAAATCTGATCACCTTCTGACTCATGTAGACCTGGAGTTTCCACATCTGAAAAGATTAATTACAAAATTTGATTTTTTGCTGCTATCAAATTATTAAGTGCCTATAAATGCAGTCAAGCAGGAGAAAATCTAAAATCTAAAATTCTTAAATTCTTCATTTTCACCCACTCTTACCCACAGAACGCTTCTAGTTCTGCAATATTCTTGGGTGTTTCAAGACACCAAACACGTCTTGGGTGATTTACTACATCTGGATTAAGGGGAGGGCTGAACAATCTGTGGAAAATATCTAACTTCAGAATATCCACCTTTTCTGGCTTGAGGCTTGACCCTTGAATGCAGTGCAACAAACTGCCAAATATGTTGTAGTTGTGATGTCACAACACATGGAGGTTTGGTTGCATCTCATTCCTCTGCTCTGGCACCCACTGGCTGTCGGAACAGCTGAGTCTCTCGCGGTCTTCAAACGCAGACTGAAGACCGTCTCTTTATACAGCACTTAAGTGAGCACTGAGTTAAGTATTCATTGTAATGTATTGTGCTGCACATATTGAAATGTACTGCACTGCTCTGTGTTTAACTCTGTTCCTTTTTTGTATCAACATGGGCTTTTGTTTCTATCAGTATCTGAGCTGGACCGGCTTTCTCTCTAACCTATTTGTAACTAGCAAAGATGCTTTCTCTGGATAGACAAAGCACTTTTTATAAGGCGCTCTGGATAAGAGCGTCTGCTAAATGCTGTAAATGTAAATGTAAATGTACAACCCCAATTCCAAAAAATTTGGGCGCTGTGTAAAATGTAATTAAATGTAAATAAAAACAGAATGCAATGATTTGCAAATCTCATATATCTGTATTTTATTCACAATAGAACATAGAACATAGAACATATATCAGATGTTGAAAGTGAGACATTTTACCATTTCATGAAAAATATTAACTCATTTAGAACCTGATGGTGACAATGCATCTCAAAAAAGTTGGGACAGGGCTGCGTCTACCGTTGTGTAGCATCCCCTCTTCTTTTAACAACAGTCTGTAAACGTCTGGGAAGTGAGGAGACCAGTTGCTGGAGATTCTCTGAATCTTTTGATGATATTATGTACTGTAGATGGTGGGATTTCCAAAGTCTTCGCAATTTTACGTTGAACATTTTTCTGAAATCTTTCCACAATTTGTAGACACAGTTTTTCTCAGATTGGTGAATCTCTGCCCATCTTTACTTCTGAGACTCCGCCTCTCTAAAATGCTCTTTTTATACTCAGTCATGTGAGTTAGTTGCAAATTGCTCCTCCAGCTGTTTTTAATTAGTACCACTTACATTTCCAGCCTATTGTTGCCCCTGTCCCAACTTTTTGAGATGTGTTGCTGCCATTAAGTTCTAAATGAGTTCATGCAATGGTAAAATGTCTCATTTTCAGCATCTGATATGTGTTCTATGTTCTGTTGTGAATAAAATATGGGTCTATGAGATTTGCAAATCATTGCATTCTGTTTTTATTTGCATTTATTTACATTTTACACAGAGTCCCAACTTTTTTGGAATTGGGGTTGTAAATCTGATTGGTCTAAATCATCTACAAGCAGTTCACAAACTCTGTTATTGGGTTCGATTTCCCCACTTGAACGTTAAGACGATGTTTTTGATGAGTAGGCTACAATTTAAAAAACTGCAGCTCTTGCGAGCTGAAAATTTCTCTCTTAAATTGCGATTTTGATAAATAAACGCTTAATCTTTCAGCCCTAATTGAGGGTGGGGATTAGATTTAGACAGGGGGAAAGTAGATTTTTCACTAAACTAACACTTAAATAGATGAACTGAGTGTAATTAATAGCAGGGTGTCGAACCTTAGAGCCATAAAGATCACACATGTTCATGATGAGCTGAGCCGAGGTGCGGACGATCACTCCTGTAGTCTCACACTGTAGCACACAGTTCTCCATCTCCAGCTTCCCCTGACGCACACCTGGACGAGGAGAGAAAACAAATGTCTAGAATGTTAAACAGATGATATTAAACACTCTGTGAGGGAAATCAGACAGACACTCAGAACACGCTGGTGGCTCTGTGCTGCCTAAAAATGCTGCTTGCTGATTATTAAAAGGCTCAAATCATGGAAAAAATAACTCCTCGTTTTTATCTTTTCATTACAGAAGTTTGACGTAGTATGTAAACATTGTTACAAGTTACATAAAACATACCGTTCACTCCCCAGTCCATATATAGCAGCCTGTTTTGCATATGTCCTCCTATTCAGCCTACAGTAGTTTAGCCCCACCCACCCACGCTGAAGTTATAGGGAGTGTTTCAGTCTAGACTGCTTTCTGAACGTGGCACGATACAGGGCAGCCAATCAAAACAGAGATCATGTACGTACACCGATCACTTTGGAGCACTTTGTAGTTCTACACAGACTGTAGTCCATCTGTTTCTCTGATACTTTGTTAGCCCCCTTTTACCCTGTTCTTCAGTGGTCAGGACCCCCATGGACCCTCACAGAGCAGGTACTATTTGGGTGGTGGGTCATTCTCAGCACTGCAGTAACACTGACGTGGTGGTGGTGTGTTAGTGTGTGTTGCGCTGGTCTGAGTGGATCAGACACAGCAGTGCTGCTGGAGTTTTTAAACACCTCAGTGTCGCTGCTGGACTGAGAATAGTCCACCAACCAAAAATATCCAGCCAACAGCGTCCTGTGGGCAGCGTCCTGTGACCACTGATGAAGGACTAGAGGATGACCAACACAAACTGTGCAGCAGCAGATGAGCTATCGTCTCTGACTTTACATCTACAAGGTGGACTGACAAGGTAGGAGCGTCTAATACAGTGGACAGAGAGTGGACACAGTGTTTAAAAACTCCAGCAGCACTGCTGTGTCTGATCCACTCGTACCAGCACAACACACACTAACACACCACCACCACGTCAGTGTTACTACACTGCTGAGAATGATCCACCACCCAAATAGTACCTGCTCTGTGAGGGTCCATGGGGGTCCTGACCACTGAAGAACAGGGTAAAAGGGGGCTAACAAAGTATGCAGAGAAACAGATGGACTACAGTCTGTAACTGTAGAACTACAAAGTGCACCTATATAGTAAGTGGAGCTGATAAAATGGACAATGAGCGTAGAAAGAAGGAGGTGGTCAGAATGTTATGCCTGATCGGTGTACATCAGTCTTAAAGGAACAGCCTGTTTAGTTCTAAGGCATAACGAGAGGTTTGAAAATGAATTATTGACAAAAATAAAATAAAAGATTACATCACGTGAGAAAAAGTAGATATAATAAAAATGTAAGATATGAGCCCTTTAATCTTTGTACAGGTTAGATTTCAACCACAGTGAACAAGAAACTTGTAACGCAGAGCTTTTTAGCAGCGGATATCAAACTTAGTGAGCTGCAAACGGAATTATGCTCTACTTATACAATAATAATAAAGATATTCAGTTTCACTGAGAGTCCCAGCTTCTCTACTTCTCATGCAAATCAAAGTAACAACAAATAAACACTGAATATTGCAGAGGAGTTCAGCTAAAGATCACTGCACACGCTAAACTCTCAGCACGCGGCGGAGACCAGCGGCTGTACGGAGGTCTGTCTGGGACTCGGCTCTGAGCAGAAGCTGAATCATATAGTCTGGGAGCAGCGGCTCTATTTACTATTTATTATTTATATTTATATGTTCTGTGCTGCACTTTGTCCTTCTGACTCACTGCACCTGTTTGGAGAAGAACCTGTTTATTGTCAGTTGTTTGACAGTGACAATGTGCACTAAATGTATTTTGTTTTCTGTGCAATATTTGTCATATTTGTCATATTATTACAGTGTTTGAAAGGCAGTAGCTGCATTGCTAATTTGTTTTTTTTTGTACCGTTTTTACTGGTCGCAGTTTTTAAGTTAGAACCACGAAACTGCATCATTTTGAACCTTTACAGGAATTGTGCGCTTGTGATTTTGTCGATCGTTTGTACGATTTTCATACAGCGAACGTTAAAACTTCATGTTTTTCCTGCAGGAAATTAAGGGTGGAATGTCATGAATATCCCAAACTAACTGCCATAAATTATGCCACAAGGATTCTCTCTCACACTGACCCTAATATACATTACATACATGGTTACATACACAACAGAACACATACTGTATATACCCACACATTAGCAACCACCTGGGATTCCACAGTAACGTTCTATCAACACATTAGCAACAACTCTGGATACCACAGAAACAGCCAAGTAACACCTTAGCAACCACCTGGAATTTCATGACAATGGCCTGGCAAGACCTTAGCAACCATCAGGGATACCACAGCAACAGCCTAGCAACACCTTAACAACCACCTGGAATATCATGGCAATGGCCTAGCAACACCTAGCAACCATCAGAGATACCACAGCAACAGCCTAGCAACACCTTAGCAACCACCTGGAATATCATAATGACCAGGCAACATATTAGCAACCACCAGAGACATCATAGCAACAGCCTAGCAACACCTTAGAAACCACCTGGAATATCATAATGACCAGGCAACATATTAGCAACCACCAGGGATATCATAGCAACAGCCTAGCAACACCTTAGAAACCACCTGGAATATCATAATGACCAGGCAACATATTAGCAACCACCAGGGATATCATAGCAACAGCCTAGCAACACCTTAGCAAACAACCTGGAATACAATAACAACGGCCTAGTCACACCTTATCAACTACCTACAATATCATAATAATGACCTAGCAACACCTTAGCAACCACCAGGGATACCATAACAACAGCTTGTTGACTTAAAGTTCGTTGCAGTTCTCACTGTTACGCCTGTTTTTTTCTCCTAACACTTTTCTGTGATTAATACAGCTCAAATGCTTAAATGAACAGACTCTGCTCAGCAAAAATGATCTTTATTTAATTAAAATAACTTTGTAAAATCTAAACTTTTGAAATATTTTCATTAAATATTGTTAATTTTCCATGAGCATCACCCCTGGACTAAAGAGTTTGTTGAAAGTGCTTCTCCTGCACTTCCTCCATCATTGCATTCTTTCACATCCTACATTTCTTTTTCTTACTTCCATTTTTTCTTCCTTTCTTGTTTCTTTTCCTTCCAATTTTATTACATTTGCCATCTTCTTTCTCCCTTTTCTTCTATATATATTTAACTTCTGTTTAGCTTCTTGATCCATTATCCCTCTTATTTGATCTGCACTTAAAATATGATGAACTCTGGATATTAATTTTATTAGAATTTCATTCTTGATGTTCTACAGTTTTCTCAGTCACGTTAGACTCCTCTACAGATCTGTTCTTCATTCTGGACTCATCCCAACATTTCTACACTTTTATTTACAGCTTTCTTTTTATGTAAATATCACGTTCAATATCAGTATCAATTCTGTTTATGGATTGAACGGATGGATCCAATGGATGGATGTATGTTCTGGAAATCTGAGGCCGTATTACAGAAACTTCCTCTCTTCTTGTCTTAACTTAAGATCCGACAGGTCAGGATAAGATTTTTCACAAATTCATATTACAGAAGCAAATCTGACCTTAATTTAGGAATCTTATCTTATAGCCTCTTTTCTTATCTCAAATTTGGTAATCTTACCTTAATCGATTGAAGTCGACAATCAACTGCCGTGTCTGTTACCTAGCAACCAACCATACACACACAGCTGAAACGTAAACACGTAATCAAGCTAGTTCGCCAGACAGCTAACGTTAGCTACCGTTACTGAGGTAAACAAGGTCAAATAAAACTAAAGTGTGATAAACTGTGAGTTGTGAATACTGTGAGAGCGCCCCCTGCTGTTTATCAGAGCGTTGCCGCTCCACAGTTTCAGTCTCCATTTCCCAAACGTTTTAGCCGAGCGCGCTAACGTTACTCCTCCTAATAAACAGACACACGTTCAGCTCCGTCTCCTCATTATTCACCACCATCACTGTAATATTTCATCATCAACATTAACACACGAAGGTAATCAGAGGGGCGGTGGAGATCGAGTCTGCAGCGCCTGGGGCTTTGAAAAAACCCCACATAAGTCAAAGCTCCGTTTTCAGTGTAGATAAATGTGGCGTCATTATGCTCCTTATAGTGAACTGAGCTGCCTGACACTGCATAAAACAACAGAACCAGACGGTTAAACAGAAGTTAAGACGCTCTGGAGTTCATCTTAAAGTTAAGACAATATGTAGGATATTTTGGTATCTTAGGATGTTTCTGTAAAACCGTTTTCTAATCTGGAAATAAGATTATAGACTTAAGAACTGCTGTTCTGTAATGGCTTCTGTCCTAACTTCAGTCTTAACTGAAGCTGCCTCGACAACAAAGCAGATAAGATATGATCTCAGCCTTAAGAATTTTTTGCAATATGGCCCCAGCATTTGACCAGCAGGAGAGTGTTCAGGAGTGCTTCTGGGCTTTTTTCTCTATTTGTCTGATGATGAATTACAGATTTTCGCTGCTACAGTAAAGTTCTCATCTTTGAGAAAAATAGAGGTTAGTGCAGTTCAGACTCACACATTATTCCTTCAATAGCGTCGTGCTGGATGAACTTCAGGTTGGAGATCTTGACGTCGGGGGCGGTCGTCTCCACAAACGTGTCTCCTTTATTTCTCTTCTCAATAACAATCTCGTCTGGCAGCCCGTAACCTGAACCGGAACGAGAGAAGAGGAAGAAAAAAAAAAGCACTTACAAAACTTTGTAGTGAAATGTTAATGAGATGTCACTTTTAAAAAACTGCAGGAAAACCTTCATAAATAAATCCTACTTTCTTCTCAAACGCAGGAACTCGGAGTTGGAGCCCTTTTACTGCCACCATTATAACTCTGGATGACGCTCCATATGAATATTTTATTTCTGCCCAAATTTCAAACAGAAATGTGGGTCTGACAGTAACGAACGTGACGCACTGATGCATCTCTGACTGTGGAATTAAGAATCAGCTCGTCAGCTCATTAACATGACAAAACACTTCCCTCTGTGTGTAAAAAGATCTGTACAATCACAGCGTCAGAGCCGCGGTCAGTCTTTACACTGAGTTCAGGGTTCAGATTTCTACAGAAGGACAGCTGTGGGGTCAGTTTGGAGCTTAAACAGATTTAATAGACAACATACAACACAAATACCTAGGCTAATGTCACTTATATTCAGTTCTATAATACATACTATTCATATAATATATAATATGTATAATATAATGAAGTGAAACAGATGTGCCGTGACATTGTGTCTGTAAGTGGACAGATGTGCCCCAGTCTCACATCAGATAAGCAGATACATGTGCTGTAACAGTGAATCAGATAACGAGACAGATGTGCCGTAACAGTTATTCAGATAACGAGACAGATGTGCCGTAATGTTATTTCAGATAACGAGACACATGTGCCATAACGATGCATCAAATAAGGAGACAGATGTGCTGTAACGATGCATCAAATAATAAGGAGACAGATGTGTCATAATGATGCCTCAAATAAGGAGACAGATGTGCCATAAAACTGCATCAGATAGGAAGACAGATGTGCCATGACGTTACGCCAGGCAAGGAGACAGATGTGTTGTAACATAACGTCAGATTAGAAGACAGATGTGAAGACAGATGTGCCGTATCTTTACATCAGATAAAGACAGATATGCCGTAATACTGTATAAGGAGACAGATGTGCCATAACGTCACGTCAGATAAGGAGACAGATGTGCCATAATACTATATAAGGAGACAGATGTGCCGTAACATCACGTCAGATAAGGAGACAGATGTGCCGTAACACTGCATCGGATAAGGAGACAGATGCGCCCGTAATACTGTATAAGGAGACAGATGTGCCGTAACGTCACGTCAGATAAGGAGACAGATGTGCCATTACACTGTATAATATAAGGAGACAGATGTGCTGTAAAAATTCTAGAGAGACTGTAAAGCTCCAACATACAAAGTGAGAAAATGATATTTAAAGGTATTTCAGGCTTTAATTGTCCATGTTTGGAGTAGACTATAGTACGAACATAATTGTTAGCCTAATGCTAATATTACACAGAAATTCAGGCTAATGGAAGGCGGCGTTAGAAATGTGATGGAAAAATGCTACTTTTAAGTAAATTAAAAACATTTTTCTGATTAAACATTGTTATATTTAAGGCGAGCGGGAACAGCCAACACGATGTTATGACTATGTTTGTATGTTTCAAGTGCTACATTTTTGCATGTAATTGTCCCTGAAGGAGACAGATGTGCCATAAAACTGCATCAAATAGGAAGACAGATGTGCCATGACGTTACGCTAGGCAACGAGACAGATGTGTTGTAACATTACGTCAGATTAGAAGACAGATGTGAAGACAGATGTATTGTATTGTATCGAAATCATTGTATTAAATTGTATTGTAGCATATCGTATTGTTTCGTTGTAT